TTGTTTGAGCAGTTAAACATCATTTATAATACTAATAACACTAGTAATAATATAATAATTTCTTCTCATTCCTTAATCAGTGGTAGTCGCTCATTTAATTTTAATCATTACCGGTTTACAACTCAAACTGGCAAGCGAAACAACAGTTTTCAATACGAAAATTATCTCAGTCGCTTCGATTTTAACACGAATGTGTGGGTCTTAAATGCGAAGTTGCAGGACGAATCGGTATTAATCAGTTCGCAACGTTCTTGGTCATAAATTCCGTAAGATTTATGGAGAAACAGACTGGTATTCCTCAGTGCTGGTTATTTCCATCGAATGTTTCCGTAACCCACTTTCTGCATGAATATTCTGGAGTAGTAACAACCTAACCTAGGCAGACGCATGAAGCACTGCATATATCTTGTCGCTGAAACACACCAAACTTGTGTTTGAAAGAGTTAATTTTGAAATGAGTTTCTAGATTTTGTTGCAGACGCTTTCAATTGCATCGCGGCAACAAGATTAAGGAAACTTGTGGGAAATAAGTTCACATACCAGGGGATTTGATCGATATTTATACTTAATAATTAAAAAAATATAACTAACCACGATGTAAATTATCAAGTAAATGATGAATAATAGGAAAGAAAGTGACAAACTTCTTCTACGAAACGAGTTTGAGTTTTTAGTAAAACATTATATTATTGTAATGTATACATAATATTATGAATACTATATTAAACAGTGCCAATCTAGGTAGCTGAGATCGCTAAGGATAAGTAGTCCCGTGGCGGTTTTTCGACCGAAGGATCGCGGGTTTGAGTCCCGCCTTGGGGATGGTTGTGTATGTGTGCGTCTTTGTATGTTTGCGATTGTCCCTTTCATTCTTCGTCATCATTATAATTTCACCTTATCCCCCAGGGATAACAACACTTGGTGCAAAAACGGATTCAGCATGAAAATGCTGATCCCCCCCTCATGAAAGTTACGTGCACCTTCGACAAATGACTGAACCCCGGTGGGTAGAACCTTCGTGCCGTGCCGAGACGACCAATTCCCGACCAAATAAGTAAATAAATAAACAATACTAATTTAAATAATATAATATTCTGGTGGCTTCATAGTAATTTTAAAGATATTCTGAAATGAGGTTCAAAGATATAATAAAGAATGCTGAGGTAAAACACTTGCACCGTGCACACAATACTGGCGCCAAAAACATACGAAGGACTTCTCTCATAATCGACATTCCTCCATGGATCTGACACAGTTCGAAGCCCTGCGGATTGGTAATGCATATTTTAGTTTTTGGGGGATAATTTATACGAAGCTCATACTACAATTTCAATTTTTTTTCAAAAACAACCGCATATTTTTCTTTATATTTTTCCTGAAATGGAGGAATGAGCGCTTTTGAGAATGGTGATTTTGATTTTAATATTTTTTTTAATTTTCGAAAATCGTGCAATTTTTTTGAATCTCTCCTAAATATGAAGCAAAATATTTTTCTTAATGAAATATTTTTGTCAATATAATAAAACTTTAAACTATTTTAAGCAGGATATTCCCCAAATATTAGTATTTAATGTACATTCCAATGGAATTGTGCCAATTTTACAAAAATGTACAAGTAAGATTTTCTTTTAAACTTTTTATGAACCGACAACAAAGCATTGAATTGTTTAGCACAAGTAAATTTTCATTAAAGCGAATATGATCTTCCTTCGCAAAGATAATGAAGGTCGCGGTGAAGAGGGAACAATACTGGATTTCCTTTTCTGCGAAAGACTGAAAAATTGAAAGAGAAAATACTATAATGTTCAAAATATTTTTTTTTAAATTTCAACTGCTTTTTTTTATTAATTTGAAGTTGAATTTACATTTTTAAAATTGTATTTTAGGGTGACATGATATTACCTTCAATAAAAATTTTAAATTATTACTGACATCCCTTTCTTGAGCCGGTCAGATGACCGAGATCTTTTGGGGCATTATTGTCGTAGCGGTCTCGGACCAAAAGACCGTGTGTTCGAGTCCCGCCTCGGGCATGAAAGTATTTGTGTATATCTATATGTGAGTGCCGTCCACCCTCACCCCGTCATCCCTCACCCACATCATCTCACCATCCATACCCCCAGGGCTAACAACCTTGTGAGATAAAAATAGGGATTCGTCTAAAATGCTCATCCCTCCCAGAAAGGTACTTGCACCTGCTGAAGCAGGATGCACGGCGTGGTTCGAGTTGGCCTATATGCAGAAAAGCTCCCTTCCTTGACAATTGATCAATTATGGTCCACAGAGTAACGCTCTTTGAGGCAACGCCGTCCCCTCGAAGCGAAGTCATGTTTTGGTTGTTCATTGAAATGTTTACTTGGGCGGAACGACGCCATGGAGCGGAGTTATATAGCATGGAACCAGAACCCAAATCCGAAGTCAATCTAGCAACAGCAGAAATCACAATCCGCATCGTATATGTTCCATGAAATTTATATTTCCATTTGAAAGACATTCCAGCACTCTTCATTGGAGGTACTGTCTTCGATTTTTCAAACAAGTTTTAATATCTAAAATATAATACGTAAAAATAAATCCCAGTCCCTTTAACTATATTACAATGTTGTAAAATCAAAATGAAGAACCTTTTGAAGTAGATAAATTAGAGAATACCAAAACAAAGAGCCTGAATTAAAGCGGAATTTGTATACGTAAGTACATTGTGTCGTAGATCCTGGTGACTTACCAAAGTTTTCGATTACAGGTTTATGTTCAAAAACTGGAATGCAATATTTCATTAAAATGAATTTATCTACAAAGATCAGGCTTGAGATGAAAACTACATAAAAGCAATCGGCATATCATGAATTCAAACGGCATGCAAAAGAGCAATCTAATTAATCTGAGTTTAGGAAATGGAGAAAACATACACCAACTTAATGGCATAAAACAAACTGAAAATAAGATTCAATTTTTTTAAATCATTCTTTTTATTTTACTTGCGTGCCATGGTACTGTTAAGTAAGAATGATTGTCATTAAAAATATCGTTTTCAAAATTTAATTGAAATGCCCCTTAAATCGGTTTGTGAATAAAAAAAATCTCAATACACAATTCAAACAACACATGGAAATTAATCAAATGACAAAAAGGAATCATGAAACCTATTTGTAGTTTTCAAGAGGAAATATTTTACAGATTCAAAAACCTTCACACAATTATTATGATCATTGATAGCGATCATGTTAATCGATTTCAAAGCGTCACATTTTATGGCGAATTTTAAAATAGGAAATGGCCATTGAATTGAGTCACGAGCTATCAAGAGATGAACAAAAAGGTTTCTCGAAAATTTACAGCTATATTTTGCATTTGCGAAAACTCTCACTTCGTGCCGCTTATTCGAAAGAACTTCGCAATATCCGTATTAGTTGTCCAAAATATGGTCGCTATAAAGTTTGTAACACGTGCCACTCGTGGAGGTGAGAATGACTTAATAATATCTTATTGTGAGAAGTTTGATTTTGCTGAATCGGACACAACTCGAACGAGAACAATGCCCAATCAGCGATCCTTATAACAACTCAGAAGCTACTTAATTCAGCGTTCGTTGTCGATAAGATGTGTCATCCCAATAAGCCACCAGCAGACAGGTTTTGTTGTCGGTAACCCACTGATGTTTGGAAACCCGGGCCGGGCGGAGTTTCAAAACAATAGAGAACTGGAGCAGTCTATTGAATTTTATTTTGATTTATGATTGTGGATGGATAAATACAAGACCACTCACATGATAGATATTAGTGTTCAAATACTAAAGAAAAAAGGTAACACAGAACCTATACAGAAGTTGAGACATTCTGCGCTTGCAATTTACATTTCTTATGTGAATTACCTTCCTTTAAAGGTACTTAAAATATCGTAAACTATGATTATAATGGTAGGCATGGGTTATCACAGGGCTTTAATAATGAATAAAATTACATATTATGAAAATAGGAATATCTAAGCTCTCGATGGATTATCGACCTGTTGGTGCAGTTTTTATTTAGAACGTGGATGAACTAATTACTCATCAAAAGACATTCATTTACTTATATGATAACGCGTCTCATTTTCAAACTAAATCCTATCTACGTCTCGACGAAAAGAACCCGAGATCACGATATGTGTGTTCAAAGTACCAGTTGTCCCAAACGCTACACAACATGAACTGAGATAAAACAGCTCGGAACTATTGATAGCTTCCCAGCAGACTCTGGAAGTGACATCCCCTGAACTAAGCTAAAAAATTACAACCATATAGATACAGGAGCACAAATACCCGTTAAAAACGCAGGTAAATTTAGAGATTATGAGTTTTTTCAGCCTATGTAAAATATTAAGTAAAAAATAACTAGATAATAAGAGTCAACAAGAAACTCAATCGCCTTCGTTGTAAAAGTGAAACGAAAATAAAAAAAAATTGTATGATCGGGCATTTGTCAAAAACGGATATTACTGTACAAAAAGAATACGAACAGAACATACATTCTTCCTAGTTCACGAGAACTTTAGCATGTCCTTCCGGTTTAATCATAGTAACTAAAAAATTAAAATGAAACACCACAGAAAACGCTCGTCATTACCGTTGCCCTTCTAACATTGTTACCTCGGATGTAAAACTTAAAATAAAATAAAATTATAACATGTAAATAAACAATCATACTTTTTGAAAACCCAGATGACACTTCACAAGAAAGAAAAATATGCACACTCTCCTCTGTTCTCGCAAGTTTTTGCGACGCTGTCTTTTCAGGAAGAAAATATTAGCACATGAATTGAATTGGAAAGGTAGTAAATGAAACGTGCAAAATAGTAAACTTTCTATGATAACTCGACGTTATTTCCTTAAAAATTTAACTAAAAATAATATCACATTTTTTTTAGAAAATGTCTCGAACACTTGTTAAATAACCCAGAAGGCACTGCACAAAAAAACTCATAAAAACAACAACAAAAAACATAACGAACAACAAACATACCTCTCCCCAGTCTGCTCATGCTTTCCTGCACCATGTTGTCGGAGGTCACAAACACAGATGCGTTCACTCGCAGCGTTCTCGACGCGATCACTGTTTGGGCGAGAGCCGGGCGGAGGGAGGGCGGCTGGGGGGGGCGTTGGGCGAGCAGCTTCCCTGACACCGCCTGCCCTGGCTCCCGAACCCGACACTGGAGTGGGCGCGCTTATCAAGGATTTTATACGGGCGGGCGCCCGGGTGGTGGTGGCGGCGGCGGCGGCGGGCGGCGGGTGGCGCGGCGGTGGTGGAGTGGGGGCGCGAGCACCCGAGGTCCCCCCCCCTGCCCCTCCTTCGGAGCGGTGCGGCGCAGAGTGGACAATGCGCCCGAGCGGCGTCGCGGCGCGGTGCGGCGGCGGGGAAAAAGGGGCGGGGCGGGGAAGGGAGGGGCAGAGAGCTTCTCTGCTCAGTGCACGCGTCTCGTCGTCACACACTGCGCTCGCTCGCGCCCCTGCTCTCCCCCCACCCTCCCCCGCCACTTCACACCCTCTCCCGGCGCCACCACGTGCTCTCTCGGAGGCGTTCCCTCCCTCGCTGTCTGCAATGTGGAGGGAACGTTTCTAGTTTTCAAACCGGCTCAGGGCGACAAGTGATGTCACTGCAGGGCCTCTGACCGGGAGGGTCCTAGTTCGAGACCCGACGGTGTCAGCATTTTCGACACTAGCTAGACAGCTAGGCCGGATCCAGTCCGGAGTAGAATTCTAGCGGCTGGCTGATCTGATCAGTATTTTTTCCGTGGTTTCTCCGATCTATACCAGGAGAATGCCGGAGCAGTACCGTAACAAACGGGCCATCTTTCCTTGGCAGCATGCGATCTTTCCTTCCTCTTCCTTGTCCGATCCTTACCCCTTACTTACTCACGCGTACGACTACCCGCCCAACACTACAGCACCTGTCGGGAGCTTAGTTTGTGTCCCATTTGAGGCAGTGTCACGCTGGGGGAGATTCCTGGATGCACGCAAACCAACGCGTAGAGATAGGATCTCACCATCCTGTAGGGGGAAGAACACGAGCACCTAACATCATAAAACATGTGCTATACTTACAGGAATTATGACCATTGCAGTTGACGCACCCGGAAACACGACATAATAAATTTAGTTTCAAATGTTGCTTACCTCTTTTTGTTGGTACTGTTATTCATCATACAATTGCGAATAGTACAAGGGTGGAGAAGAGATTTTGTGTAAATGGTAAGTGCACAGACTGTCTTCTTCCGTATTCATCACATAGTTTTTACTATTTTTTGACGAAAAAATCAAATCAAATAAATCAGATCGGTAATCAGTGCTCAGGTAGAGATTGTCTCAAAACCATTCTCTTCACAAAACCATTCTCATTTACAGTTCAGGAAACTTCCTTCTTTTTAGTATTTTTTCCCTTTCGCTATTATACTCTTTCCTTTTGTATACAAACAAAATTTACAACAGCCGATCTGGGTGGCCGAGATCGCGAAGGCAGTAGTGCCGTGGTGATATCGGGCCGAAGGATTGCGGGTTCGAGTCCCGCCTCGTGCATGGTTGTATTTGTGTTCGTCCTTTCACCCCTCATCATCACTGTATCTCCTCATTTAGTCTCCAGGTTCCCCCAACGTTAACCAATAGTCGTCGCTAATGACCACGTAGTTAATGCGACCTTAAATGAACAAAAAATACAACAATCAATTATTAATGACATATTCCATTGTTTCTGGGTTTTAAGCTATCAGTGGCAATTAATTGTACTTTATTTTATTCCCCCTCAGTTCACCCTGAATCATAAAATGAATTATACTAATAATAACTATTATTATTATTATTATTATTATTATTATTATTATTATTATTATTATTATTATTATAGCACGCGCGCAGAACACATCACTCACACATACTCTCACCCATGCATTCACACTCACACGCATACATAACACTTCCAGACATATCACATGCAGAATACACATTCACATGCGCCGTATTCACAGATTGTCTTATTTCTATATTACGATAGAAGTAATTCCTTTGTGCTTGATTCTGCCCCTGTAGATAAGATGCGCCACAACACGCGATCCTGTGGTATGATGAATAAAGAATGTGCAGATTAATATTTGAACAGACTCGGGAAATTACAGCTGATATTTTGACTTTTACATTTCTTCAGATAACGCTTGAGAATGTCTGAAGCTGCTTAAAATAGAAACAGTGGCTGAGGGACCGTTCAGTAAGGTGTCCATCATGAAGGTCTTCTGACGCCTAGGCGACTGCAATGTTTATCATGATGCTTGCATGTACAAAGTGTGCTTGCACTCTAATCAGGCCGTATTGCAGACTAGGCCAGACGATTGCTTTGAAGGACGATGATTTGTGTTGTAAAAGGTAAGATAGTTATTTCACGTCCGTGATAATGTAGTGGTAGGGCATTATATCAAACAAAAAAGCGAAAAGTTGCTGAGGAGCATCAATCCTTTCTGGAGAAAAGCAATGGAGACGAAACTTTCTTTTTCTTACCAAAATCTCTTATTAAGCTCTTCCACAACTCACACCAAAAAAGTTTAAAAAGAGAACACTCAAGATACATAAAATATTCGTTTTACATTTCCTTTCTGAATCTGGTAATGCGAGAAATCGAATATCGTCCCTGCGGCACCCCATAAAAGTGAAGGGGAGGCTGAAGCGTCATGAGTCTTCCCTCTGTTGACTGCACCACTGCTAATAATTATGTTAGGCAGCATTTTTATAAGACGTGTTAGCTGACACCTTTCGACTTCACACGTTGCGGACTTATAATATAAATGCATTAAAACATGACGTTATGTTTTCTTTGTTCACTTACGTCCATTCGATGTGTTTGTTATTCGCCGTGAAAATAATCTGTTGTAACCGAAAGTGTCCTTGCAAAGCCTTCATAACGTACAGAGGAGCCACTAAAAGTATTATTAAACTAATAAACTTCGCTCCTAGGCGAACTATAGTTCAATTGACCACACTTTAATCCAAACAATGTTCACCGCCTGCAAAATAACAAATGAAAAGTTAGCACTGTTTCAAAATGTGACAATAAACCTTACAGGTTTAAAGAAAAATTGTTTCGAAATAAAATATCGATTAAACCGGTTGTGGGAACATTGGGTCTACCAGACCCAGTGGCATCTATGAAACCATCTATTACAATAAAAACATCCATTCGAGTATTTCTAAATAATCACTTTAAATATTTATTACATTTCATTACAAACTGCAAACGGTTAGCATTCGAGTTACTGTTACCTGAAATTCGCAAATAAAAATACACTCAAAAGCCATATCAAATGATGTAGCTAGGATTAGTGAGAGATGAGAAGTGAATAACGGAATTTGTTTGTCTAGAGATTATGAGGGTCTGATTTTATCAGTTTCTCCGTACTCCAAGTCTGTAAAGATAAAAATATTTAAAATTAAATAAAAATGCGAAGTATAATGATGTGCGGCAAAAGTATTCATTTGCATCTAAATCAAACATTACGCTTTGCTTTATTTTTTGATTTTTCTCCAACCTCTTCACGTACAAATCCTGGATAGTAGAGTTCAACGTTTATAGACAACGGGAAATATAACAGACATATACGGATAACAATATAAAATTTTAGTAGGTGACATATTCAAAGTTCAGTTTTAAAGTTATTCAGTTCTGGAGAAAAACATTAACCCTACTTTGCTTTATTTACAGATGAGCCCAAGGTATTCTGTGTGCTTAGCCACACGTACACCAGAATTTTCGAAACGTGTTATTTATTAATTCATTGAACCAAAACACAATAAAAATACAGAGACATTTCAAAAGATAAAAGCTACTATATTCTATAGATAAGACGACCACCTCGGGAATTCATCCAAACATCACGATCGTATGAAATAGAAACCTATCTCAATGCTAAAAACACTACTAACCTTTTTCTTGACATTCCACAGAAAATACCGGTAACACAAACTCACCCCCACTATACTGGGAAATAAACTCAGGAAGATTTTAATCATGAGCACCAAGCTTCTCAGAGAACAAAGCAACTTGGTCAAAAACTGAAATAGTTTTGATGTATGATCTACGATCTAGCCAAAGTGTTGGTGCTACAACAGAACTTAGTTTCTCCTATTATTTGTAATGATTGTGTTATATAATTCATGTTGAATCCTTGTAAAAATTCCTCACATCTGAACTTCATTGCATATGTTTTTGCGGTCAGCGACAGACTACTCCATTGGGGGATGCTCAATGCCCCAACTCATGCCTCAAAAAACATTTCCAACTCACAAAAATATTTACACCAGTTGGAATTTAAATTCGAGAACGTCGCTTACTGTGTCCAACACACAGCCATTACGTCGCGGGGTCGTTCAACAGATCAGACGCATCCAGTGTTGATTTTGAATATGAAGTCCGGATAGAAGTATTTTCTGTTTTAAAGTATCAAACTTAAAAACCAAGAACCCTTGAAAAACGCCTTGGTTTTTATAATATTTTCATCCAAATTTAAAAAAGATCTAATAACTCGTTTTTACCGAAACTGTCATTTCTTTTATTTCACTTGTGATATATGCTACGAAAACTAATTTATACAAAAAAGGCAAAATAGAATAAAACTAACTTGTATACAAAATTCAATTAATTTACTCTTTCAAATAATTATCTTTCTGTGAACATCCTTCAATGAAGAAACTGAAGCCAGAACTTACTGGTTCGGAAAACTTGTGTTTGAATTGTGTCGAACAGGCAGAAAATTTCATTTAAAAAATCTTTATTCGTTATCAGGGATCCCCAAAACGTACATATTCATTAAAATCTTGGGCTATAATTTTCGCAGCATTACATACCTTTTATACGATAATTTCTTGTGTGAAACGTCAATGGATACTAGTAAATGAGACAGTAAAAAAGAGGAACGTTACAATTTTTGACAAATGTAACGTCAAGTAATAACGTAAATGTACTTCTAAGAATTTAATGTAAAATGATAGTTTAATATATTGTTAACAACTTCGAATCGAAAAAATCAAAGAATATTTCAAATACTATATAAAATAATACTATGTGTAAAGAAATTACTAGACA